TCTTTTGATAGGACCACTTAATCCATTTACATTTAAAGTGATTATTGATAGATACATAGTTATTGCCATTCTATTATTCATATTTATTTTTTTAAGATTTTTTAAATTTATTTTTAGAGAGAGAGGAAGGAAGTGAGAAAGAGAGGGAAAGAAACATCGATGAGTGAGAGATACATTGATCTGTTGCTTCTGCACTCACACCAAGAGGGGAACAAACCCACAACCCAGGCATGCACCCCAAGCGGGAACCAAACCAGTTCCGATTGATGTTTCTCTCATTTGTCAATGTTTCTCTCTTTCTCCTTTTCTGCCCTTCTCTCTAAAAATGAAATCTTAAAAAAAGGCTAAAGGACATAGCAGATTTACCTAATACATAAAAACAAACACAGAGAGGCAGTCAAAATTAGGCGACAAAAAAACAGGTCCCAAATGAAAAAAAGAAAAACCCAGGAGAAATCTCCAGAAAATATGGAGATTTCTTGGGCCCAGCCTTTGGAGGATGGCACCCAACCAAATGAGCCACACAAGTCAGAGCTATTATTCATATTTATGTACTTTTTCCCCCCTTCTTCTTAAAGAAGTCCCTTTAACGTATCTTGTAATACTAATTTAGAGCTGATGAACTCTTTAAGCTTTTTCTTATCTAGGAAGCTTTTTCTCCCTTTTTAAATTTTATATGATAGCCTTGCTGGGTCAAGTAGTCTTGGTTGTAGGTCCTTGCTTTTGATCAGTTTGAATATTTCCTACCAATTCCTCCTGGCCTACAAAGTTTCTGTTGAGAAATCAGCTCACAGTCTGCCTTTGTCTTGCTGCTTTTAAGATCCTCTCTTCATCTTTAACCTTTGGCATTTTAATTATAATGTGTCTCACTCAGTGTGGTCCTCTTTGAGTTCATCTTGTTTGGGACTCTCTGTGCCTCAAGGACTTAAATGTCTGTCTCCTTTGCCAGGTTAAGGAAGTTGTCAGTCATTATTTTTGTTTTTTCTTTTTTGTTTTTCTGTTCAAGTGGGTGTTTTCTGCTATCTTGTCTTCTAAAGCACTTAGTCGATTCTGTTTCATCTAACCTGCTGTTGATTCCTTCTAGTATATCCTCCATTTTCAGATACTGTATTCTTTATTTCTAATGAAGGATCCCTATAACCATTGTTTTGAACTCTGTATACAATACCTTGCTTGCTTCCATTTAGTTTAGTTTTTTTTTTTCTGGAGATTTCTCCTGTTGTTTTTGGGGTTTTTTTTTTCATTTGGGACATGTTTTTTTGTGACCTAATTTTGATTGTCTCTCTGTGTTTGTTTCTGTGTATTAGGTAGATCTACTATGTCCCCCAGTCTTTTTTTAAGATTTTATTTTTAAAGAGAAGGGAGAAAGAGAGAGAAACATTGACATGGGAGAGAAAAATCAATCAGCTGTCTTTCACACGCCCTCCCAACTGACATGTGCCCTAACTGGGAATCAAACCAGGAAACTTTTGGTGCACAGGCTGGTGCTCAGTCCACTGAGCCACACCAGCTAGGGCTCTCCCAGTCTTGATAGGGTTGCCTTATATAGTAGGTGACCAGTGGGGCCCAGTGGCAAGCTCCTTGATCGCCTAAAATGGGTGCTCCAGAGTGTCCCTTGTGTATGTTGTGTGTGCCCTCCTATTGTAATTAAACCTTGAATGCCGCTGGCACATCAGAGGGTGGGATTGACCTTCAGGTTGACAGGCTGTGGGAACTGTCCATGACCACCATGTATAAACTGCTGTGCGGGGGCTGACCCCCTGGAGTGGGATCTACCCTGCAGACTCTGGGGTCCACCAGCTTTTGGGTGTGCCACTTGTGGCCTGAAGCTGGCCACTGAGTGTGTCAGTTTTAGGGCCTTTTAGGAGGGGCTCCAGTGCAAGCCAAGGTCAACAACTGCCTTTGAGTGGCCCAGGCTACCTGGTAGGAACTACAAAGTGATCTGCGGTTGGCAGCTGCCTGTGCTGAACCTGGATGAGCATGGGAGAGGCCACACTGTGGTCTGAGGCCAGCTGCCACCAGTACTGGGCCTGGGGCAGCTCAGAAAAGGCACAAGGCACCCCAAGGCCTGCCACCACCTGCCCATTAGGCTCAGCTGCTGAAAAAAAGCTCAGGTGGTTACGCAAATTGGGTGAGGCAGAGCCTCAGGGAGTGACCAGGGTGGAGTGAGTGGTTTTCACCAGGTTAATGCAGATTTAGATATGGCACCAGTGCTGAGCCTGAGGTCACTCAGCAAAAGACACAGGGTTCACTGGGGCCGGCTGCCACCCATCTGGAGCCTGTGGACCTCTGAGAATTTTTTTCTAATCTTCACCCAAGGATTTTTTTAATTGATTTTAGATAGAGAGTAAGGGGGAGGGAAGAAGGGGAGAGAAAGAGAGAGAGAGAGGGAGAGAGAGAGAGAGAAAGAAACATCAACATGAGAGAGAAACATTGATCAGTTGCCTCCTATAAGCACCATGCCCCAATAAGGGATCGAACCCACAACATAGGTATGTGCCCTGACTGGGAATCAAACCTGAACCTTTTGGTATATGAGATGACACTTCAACTAACTGAGACACCCAGCCAGGGTTCTTTGAGACTTTTTAAAGAAAGACTGCAGCATGGGTCAAGACCAGATGCCTTTTGCCAAAAGAGCCCCTGGTGACGCACAAGTTGAGTCAGGCAAGATCTCAGGGAATCATCAGAGTGAAGCAAGTGGAGTTCACCAGGGTAATGCAGATTCAGATTTGGCCACAGGAAAGATGGCACCACCTGCCTGCTGTGTGGTAGAAGGGCTCAGCACAAGGGCAATAGCGGCCATCCCTCCAGCCCTCACCCTGAAGCCACAGAACTCAGCTTCTCCTCCTATGTCTCTGGCGCATTCCACCCCCAAGCCACTGTCCCTTCACCAGAGCCCAGGGTGAGTGCCTGTGAGTGAGTGAGTCTATGCAGAGGCCCTTTAAGAGGATGCCTGGGTTTCCAGCAGCCTCCTATCTCACCCAGACAGACAGAATCCCTGCTGATTTTCACAGCCAGATATTGTGGGGGCTCCTCTTTGCAGCACTGTTGCCCAGGGCTGGGGAGCCCAGTGTGGAGCTCAGGGAAGGGGAGTGCCTCTGCAGCTGGGACATCCCACTCGATTCTCAGCCGCTGCACATGCGTATGGAGCCAGCACATTTTGTGTCTCCACCCCTCCTCCCAACCTCAGTATGACTTCGGATATCCTTAGTTATAGGACTTCTGTTCAGCTAGGCTTCAGGTGGTCCTCCAGGTTGATCATTCTATAATTTAGTTGTAATTTTGGTAACTGTGTTGACCTACTCTCCCATCATGATCAGAACCCCTCCCATGTCTAATGTCCTATTTCTTAGGTGAAGTGATATGTTTGTAGGGTTCATTAAGTCACCCTCCATATCCAATATTTTTGTTCCTTATATCTTTTGTACATAGTAAACTTGTCCCATCTCCAGGGTTATGATTCGGGCTATCCATTTAAGACACCTAAGGATACCACCGCCTTTGACTTTCCCATTCCTTTTGAAGGTTATTGATGTCCTCACCACCTTGCCTAGTGAGATTAAATGAAATATGCCTTGGCCCACCAAAGCCTCAGCTCAGCCCTTTCAAATTATCTCCTAGCACTACTACTTGCCATAAGTACAGGATGGGTGAAGCTCACTGAAAAATCTTGCCCAAAAAACCGTCCTTCCGTGACCTAACAGCCCCTTGCCACAGGCTTCCGGTCTCCACTCAGACCTAGCGCACTTATCACGGCCTTCTTCGGCTTCCCAACCACCCTTCCCAAACCTGTCCACAGTAACCGAAGTCTTCATGCCAGTCCCACTTCTGGGGCCAACTGCAGGCATCTGTGCTTCAGATCCCAGTAGCCCCAGCTATTAAGAAAGGTAGGCTCTGGGGCCTCAGGTATTAAGCCTGTTTCTTCACCTGTAAAGTGGAAATACAGAAGTGACAATATCTGTTTAGTAAGACCATAGTAAGAAAAAAAATGAGGCAATGCACAGAAAATAATTAACCTGTAGTAAAAGTGCCCTTAGTGTCTCCTTCCCCACTTCATAAAACAGTGGGGCAAATTAAATTGAGATCATATATGTAAATAGCCCAGTGCAGAAATTCTGCCTTTCATATTCCCCATGACAACTGGCACACACACCCCTACTTTGAAGGCATCAAATTGCAAAATGGCTGTGTCTGCTGCCCCCTTATGGCCATAGGGAGGAGTTACACTATCCTCCTCTCAGGTTTTGGTAGAAAGGAACCACCCCCAGCATTGGTACTTCCTCTTTCCTCTGTATTTGCCAACTTACACAAAGAAACAACTACTGGACAGAGGAAAGCAGCTCAGGTCTGCGAATTTCTCAAAATTTCTTCAGCAGGAAAAGAGATCTACCGAGGAGGCAAAAGGGGCTCTTCTCCAGGCAAATAATTTATCCCCAGGAACAAGTTTCTTCCTTGCAAAACAGAGATAATAGCTATCTCACTAAGGTCTTGTGAGGATCCAAATGAGACCCTAATACCAGCACAGTAGCTGACACATACCGAGTAGACACACAATAAGTAATCATATTTTTAAATCACCCTAACAAGACTCAGCTCTAATTCATAAAGTGCTTTATTTTAAAGGAGAGTGAACTGAGGCCCAGAAAAATGGAGAGATCTGGCCAGAAGTTATAAGTAAGTGGCTGGACCCAGGCTAGTGCTCAGGTCCCCAGAGGAAGTGGGAGGAGAAGTATTTGGATTCCTCCTGGTTGCTGAGCATGACACTGTCACTTTGCTAGTGATATTCCTCATCCCCTGATCCCTGCTTCTGGTCACTTCACCGGGAGCACTGCCTACTACCTGCCCCTCCTGCCTACTTCCCTGGACACGTGGTTGGTCCTCCTCCTACCTTCCATGCCTCCATAACCCTCATGGGCCACAGGACAAAGCAGAAAAGCAACTCTGATTTTATTTGGTTATGTGAAAGGGTCTGGGCGAATGTCCTGTCCACTGCATCATCAGCCCCTAAGGGCAAGCAGGAGACCTGCGAGGATGCCCCAAGTAGGACCCCGACTGGAGGGCTCTGCACCAGCAATCTGGGCCTTCTCTAAGACGTTGAGAATCTCAGTCACTCTGATGGTCCCGATACGGTGGAAATCTGCTAAAATCTTATGTTGTTCACGAGCACAGCCCATGAGAAGGAAGGTGGTATTGAGAAACCCTGTAAGGAGGAGAGGGAGGAGTCAGGGACACTTTCAGGACTCAAGTACCCTCACCCTCCTTCCAGATACCCCTCACAAACCAGGCCACCGGCTCTCCCATCAAAGACGTGGGCACAAGGCACCCACCTTCCTCCTTGAAACCCATGTGCCTGGTGCCCGCAACCCCAATCCCCTCTCCAGATCCCACCAGCCTCCCTCAGAGATGGGAAGATACCAGACAGCACCTAGCACAGAGTAGGCATTTGATAGTTTTGATAAAGTTTCTCTCCTCTCACCTGCCTGAAATTTTAGAGTGGAACTGTAACACTTCGGGGCATTTTGGGGGCAAGAATCAGTGGTGACAAAATTTGGGAGGCAGTCCTTAGAGTGCTCGCCCACACAGGTTGGGCAACTAAGGGATGAAAATGCTGTAGGTTTAGGGGTCTTCCTGAGTCTCATAAAAGGATCCAAGTTGGTGAGATTATTGCAGAGATATTTCCGGCAGACATGGCTATAGGAGGCAATGGACAATCCAGGCGGTGAAACAAGGTAGGAGACACGCTGGGGGTACGATGGGGCTGGGCTGCAGCCTTTAAAACCCACAACTCCCCTTCTGGTCCCTGAGGAGCAGAGATTAGAGAGCTCTGATCAGTGTTGTTGGCCACACCCAGAGTCCACCCTCCCACCCGCCACCCTGCTCTTCCTGCTCCCTCTGCGCCATCACCAATGTGACCTCTCCCCCAGGGTCCACTCTCTGCCGCAGCACAGGGCTCGGATGCCGGGGTCCCTGTTGGTTTCTCTTCACTCCTCTCCCCTCTGCTCCTCTCTCCTTGTGTCCCAACTTTTCCTCGCTCCCAGATTGGTGCACTCCCCCTGGGATCAGCCCACTTCTCATCCAGCCTACACCACAACCGGCTGGATCCTGCCCCTCTCCTGCCAGTGTCTTGATATTATTCCCCAAAACATAATATGATAAATATGTAGAACTCAAGTCCAGAGTCCCTGGGTGCTGGGGATGGAGCTAGAGGTCAGAAGAACAAGCAAAAAAAAAAAGTATCAAAGTCACTTTCCTTCACTTGTCTCGATGAGCACCAACGTCTCCTCACAGCCCTCATTCAGCTTACATACCATGCTCCTCATCAGAAGCCATTTCCAGTTGCGGAAAGTAACAGCTCTGAAGAGTGAGGATGTTGCTTCATAGCACAACAGAGTCCCAGCCCCTAAACAGAGAACGATCTTCCAGTTATTTGTCTCTCACCATACCTACACCGCACCTGAATTGCCAACCAAGTGCTCAGCCTCCAAGATCCTGTCCCTGGAGCAACACAGATATCCAGTCCCCTCCCTCTGGGGCCCCAAAGCATCCAGCACCACAGGACATACAAGGCAGAGTGGAGATGGCCCCTAGGAGGCAGAGCAGCTGCATAGGTCTCAGATGATGAGGTCCCATGGTCCTGTGTCAGGGTTCTGGATGCTAGAGGTCAGTCCAGAACCAATTTCAGCTTAGGCTTCAAGTTTGCTTCTTGCCAGTCCCTGGATTCTCTGTCCACCTGCCTCTGGGTCACTGTTTCTAGAGCAGAGAGCTGATTATCATTTTCTGTGGCACAGGCTCCCAGATACCTTCAGGGACACAAGCCTTCTCATCTCTATAGACTCCCCTGCAATGACCCTGGACCCCATCCCCCACATTAGATTCCCAAATCATGACTCTCACTCTCCTGCTTAGGTTCTTCCCGTTAGGATGCTGAGCAGAGGATACTGGCTTATTCAAAGGATCACTATTCTCCAGAGACAATGAGATCAGAACAATAAATGTGTATGTGGAAGTTAACTGACATTAATACGTCAGCTAATAAATAATAAACAATCTTTGGTTCAAAAGGAAATTTAAAAGTGTTTAGAACTGGCCCTGGCTGTGTGCCTCAGTTGGTTGGAGCATCATCCTGTACACCAAAAGGCTGTGAGTCTGATCCCCAGTCAGGGCGTGTATGGGAGGCAACCAATCGATGTTTCTCTCTCAGATGGATGTTACTCTCACTCCCTCCCTTCCTCTCTCTCTAAAGTCAACAAACATATCCTAGTGAGGATTTCCTTTTAAAAAAGTAGTTAGAAATGGATAATATTGAACACACTACCTGTCACACACATACACAAGTGCATGTAAAATCTGGTGAATACTGAATTCAGGTCTGTAGTCTAGTTAAGAGTATTGTACCAGTATCAATGTCCTGCATACACACTACAGTTATAGAAGATGTCCCTATGGGAAGAGGGAGGAAGGGTTTAAGGGACTCTAGCTACAATTTTTGCAACCTCCTGTGAGCTAACAATAATTTCAAAATCAAAAAATTTTTTAAACTACTCATCAAAATTTGGGACTAATCTAAAACAGTATTTAGAAGTAAATTTATACTTAAATATATTTATCAAGAAACAAGAAGCATTAAAAATGTTTATGAATTAACTCAAGAAATTATATAAGAAGTAACAAATATATATAAGAAGTAACTGCACCCCCCCCAAAAAAAGGGATAGAAATAAAGATGGTAGAAATCAATAAAATAGAAAATAACAACAAATCATTGCAGAAAACTACCATTTGCCCTTTGACAAATTAATAAGGTAATTCACCAGCAAACCCAATTAAGAGAAAAAGAGAAGGTGCAAATAAAATATAGAATGAAAAACAGGAAATAACAGACATCAGGTGTTTTAAAAATAATAAAAGTATCATTAATAACTTTACACTTATAAATTTGAAAACCAAGATGAAGTAAATTGCTAAAATAATATGACATGCCAGAATTGGCATAGGAGAATATGTGCAATGTCTTAAACCAATGACGATGAGCAAGAAACTCTGCACTAGGAAAATGGGCCAACCACATGAAGAAGCAATTCTCAGAAGAGCAAACCAAAAGGCCAAAAAACATGTGAAGAGACACTCGGACTCAGCAATAATAAGAAAAATGAAATCTATCAAACTGTACATCCATCAGACTGGCAAAGGATCAGAAGGCTGGAAATGGAGGCGCACTGGCAGAAACGTGGGGATACAGAGCCCCTGGTGTGTGGCTGCTCTTGGGTGGTTGGGACAGGGGTGGAATAGGGCCCTTCTGGATCCTGAGGAGCAGAGAAGTGTTCTGATCAGCGTCTCCGGACTCTGGCAATAATGAGTGAAATTAGGTTTTTAAATACCCATTTCTGGTATATCTTAAGTACACAAAACAGAGATGTCTGCCTTCATCTACAATGGTACGCATACGAGGATACAGCATTATTGAGGTGACAGTAAGTTGAAGGCAATGTGGGCATCCTTCCCTGAGACCTAGTGAACACTCAATGCACAGGGCATGAGCATCATGGAATATCATTAGATGTACACGTAACATGTACGTGGATGGATGGCAAAAGCACAGTACTAATTATTTTAAATAGTAAAGAACACAATATCACTTGCAGGAATCAAAACCTCAGGCACATTAAAAGCAGCACATCTTGCAAGAACATGCATAAACCAAAAGATATGCACTAGCCACACGAAATGAGTGTGTACGGAAGGGTTAGGGAATGAGAGTGGGGAATGGGGACTATGGGGAATAATTTAAACAGTGTAGGTGGTACAAAGTTCACAGACTTTGGACTCAAAGGTAAACCAAGGCTGAAACCTTCACCTCCACTTACTAGCTGTGCGACCCTGTGCAATTGATGAACACGTTTATAAAGTAGATTAACAATGCATCTCATAGGGTCATTGTTGAAAAAAATAAATTAACATAAATACCAGGCAAGTGCTAAGCTCTCCATAAATGGTTTCTTTCTTTCCCTTTCTCTTTCTCTTTCTCTTTCCCTCCTTTTCTGCCTCCCTCCCTTTCTCTCCCCACCCCCATCTAAAGAATCAAGGTCACCCTAGCCAGTGTGGCTCAGTTGGTTGGAGTGCTGTCCCACATGCCGAGAGGTCGCCTGTTAGACTCTGAGTCAGGACACACATCTAGGTTGCAGGTTTGACCCCCAGCCATGAGGGAGATGACCGATTGATATTTCCCTCTCACTGTTTCTCTTCCTCTCTCCCTCTCTCTCCCTCTCTCTCTCTCCCTCTTTCCTTACCCCATTTTTCTAATGAGAATAAAATAAATCTTTAAAAAGACAATAAATAAAATATTTGGAAAAGAATCAAGGTCAACCCCTTTAGCTGGCATTCAAGCCTCCCACCCAGCCGCCCCCAATTGGCCCCAAACAACCTTTCCAACTTCATCTAGTACTGCTCCCCTGCACAGCAGTCCAAGCAGGGGTCACCCACAGTTACTGTTTTCTGTCTAGAATGCCTAAAGCACAAGGTCTGTATCCCAGAAATCTCGGCAAATACAAGAGCTAAGACCAACGCGGATGAGAAATGAAGACTGACAAAGGAGTCCACCAAGGGATTGAGCCAATCAGAGAAGACAGCACACACCAGCCTGGAATGCAAAATACGACAGAAGCCAACAATTTAAATACAAGAGGGACAGAACCAGAAAAAACTGGAATGAAATCTCCTAGGAAAAAAGGGTTAAGTGGAGGTTGGAGGAGACGCTGCCTTTACCGAAGAGAAATTGCACAGAGGAGGACCGAACTGATGGAATGGAACCCTGCAGGGAGTCGGAGGAAGACCAGCAGAGGGCACGATCAGACCTGCGGGAAAACGAGGAGTGGGGCACAAAGACCAGGTCTCAGGGGAAAGGGGAGACCCTCTTTGAGGGTGAGGGAGAGAGAAAAGGAGACAGGGCAGAACACAAAGTGCACAACACTGAAAGGATTGGAAGGGAAAACGTGAGATGGGTCTGAGAGAGGTACACAGACAGAGAAGGCAACCGATTACGGAGTACCGAGAGGCGGGTGAAATCTGGGAGGAGGGGTGCACACAAAGCGGGGAAAGGGCTGAAAACACAGAAACACTACAGAGACAACTAGGAGAGTGAAGAAAGTGGGGAAAGGGCGCCGGGCTGTGGAAGAAGCAGGCGCGGGGAGAAAGGTAGTCCAGAAATCAGCAGAATGGGCAGGCTGAGAGACTCCGAGAGAACAGAAAAACCGGGTCAGGAAAGTCAGCTCCGACAAAGAAGAGACACAGGGAAGGGGCGCGCTCTGAGGGAGGCTGAAAGGTCAGAAGGTGCAGGACGCATAAAAGGAGAAGGGTAGATGGGGAACTGGAGCACCGGGAGAGAGGTGAGAGAAAGCACGGGCATCCACGCTGCAAAGAGGAGCCACGCAGAGGTGAGGCCAAGAGCACAGGAAGTGTAGCGACGCAGCACGGCCGCAGGGCGAGACCACGCATGCGCAGCAGGGTCCAGGTCGACGCCTCCAGGGTGGGGCCAAGCTGGCGGCGCCCCGGGCATAGGTCCAGCCTAGTCCTGGAAGCTGCATTCGACGCCCCATTGGCCACCTGCCTCAAAAGGGGAAGAATAATCTGGAATGGTAAGCCACCGGAGAGGGGACTGTGGCACGAGACTCAACTCGAGGCGCTATTGGCTGGCCTGCTAGTCTCGCGTGAGTGGAGAAGTGGCCTGGAGCTAACGGGCAATGCCATCAGTGAAGGATCTTGAAGCTCATTGGTTGCTTGCCTGGATGACAGGAGTCGGCGCTTGAAGCTCATTGGTCCTTCTGAGAAGGGGCGGGAAAACCAGCGCGAGCACAGCCGTTCCTTAGGTCACTTCCTCACTGCAGCCTGTTACCTCCTCCTGAGTCAGACTCAGCTCGAGGCTGTGGTAACCGCAGGCCTAGGACGTGAACGCGACCCCGCCCCTCCCTGATCCACCTCCCCCTTTCTTGCACAGGACCCCCCTCCCCCTCACCCCCCGCATCCTCGCCTCCCCCTGACTTCCCCCTTGAGCTTCTCGCGCCCTCGCCTCCCCTCCCCCACCCTGTGAGCCCCGCAGCACGCTCCCCGTGCGCCGCTGCCTTCCTGGGACCCTGGAGTGGGCCACAGCCTAGCTTGTGGAGGGACAGCGGTGGCAAGGGGGTGCATCTAGTAACAGCTGCGTGAGGGGGCACACTGCGGGAGGTAGGGTGGGCCTGACATCAATTGTTGGGCATGAGCAATGGCACAGGAAGTGTGGGGCGCAGCGATGCACGGGTTTACATCAGAGTTTGGGACTGTGGTGGGTGTGAGAGCGAGGTTCCTCCCGGGAGGAGAGCGCTAGATGGGGGCCTAGCACGTGGAGGGGGCTCAAAAACATCTGTTGAGTGAATGAAAATAATTCTTGGAAGAGGGGCAAGGAATCCATGAAAATAATGGAATTTCTGTCGGTGCAAGAGAGTGCTCTAATCAAAAGGGACGCAAAGGGGAAATTGAATTGCAGGGAATACATGAGGCTGTGAGTTGCAGGGGGAACATAAAATATGAGTGGGAATTGGGTAAATGCAGGAAGGAAGGATAATCATTGTTGAAGGGGATACCAAAAAAAAACTGTTGGA